ACTGACCAGCACATGGACTCAGGGCTGCATGTGGCTGCAAGGGAGGCTGGGAGTGTGTTCTCTATTCTGGGTTACCACTTGTCAAATTAAAAAGCAGATTCTCTGCTCCTGGGCAGAAGGATGTTTAGGGATAAATAAGACGCTGTGGCCCTGGGGGGTGGGAGGGTGCTGTCTTCCTAACGGGATTTCCCTTGGTCTCCTCAGGCCAGCACATCTTTGTGAATTTCAACCTCCCAGACTATGCTGTTGGCATCATCCTGCTGATCGCCTCCCTGCTGGTCCTCTGTGGCTGCCTGATCATGATTGTGAAGCTCTTGGGCTCGGTCCTTAAGGGGCAGGTAGCTGCTGTGATTAAGAAGACACTCAACACTGGTAGGTGCACTGAGCCCACCCTCGACCTTGTAAGGGATGGCACCTCTGGACAACCTGGGACAGTTCTTAGATCTCATAGAGCAGGGGTTTCTGCGTGCAATTCTTTAATCTGGTAGGCTACATGTGTTAAGCGGCCCTTCACCTTGAAATCACCCTAGTGTTGTAGGTGGGGCCTGGGGAGCAGGTATCACCTTCTGTTTATTGTTTCTCAATATCCTGAGGAGTCAGATCAAATCCAGAGAACTGGGGGGTATATTTCTTTCCTGAAAGGTCTCTATATTCCCAGGACTTTCTTGGGTTTTTCAGGATCCCTTAGACAAGGGGATACATACAGATACCCTCCCTAACATCCCACGAAATTTAATTCATCATCTTGTGCAGCCAAAGAACTCAGTTGGCCAGGAGGAGATCTTGCTGAGTTACCAAGGCAAGGATATTGCCTACCCATGAAGCTCAGGGATTAGGACTAAGAAATTATGCCTCCACAGTAGTTGGGGTGATGGGCTAGCTCTGGGCGATCCCTGCATGCAGCACCCCAGCCTGCTCGTGTGGCCCCTGGGATTGGCTGCAGGGCTTCTAAGGCCCAAATGCTCCTGGAGGTAGATACAAAGGTAAGAGTAGGCAGTGTTGGAGACCACCCTGGGGAGCAATTAAGCATGGTCCCCATCCCATGTTGGCTTCCCGACAAGGTTTGAGAACAATCTCTCCTTGTTCCTTCCAGATTTCCCCTTCCCCTTCGCCTGGGTGACCGGCTACCTGGCCATCCTTGTGGGAGCCGGCATGACCTTCATCGTGCAGAGCAGCTCCGTGTTCACATCGGCCATGACCCCGCTGATTGGTGAGTTTCTCCCTGACCGCCCCCGCGGGTGGCCGTCCCATGTCCTGAGCTCTGACATGGCTTTGTGTCCCCAGGCATCGGCGTCATCTCCATCGAGAGGGCCTATCCGCTCACGCTGGGCTCCAATATCGGCACCACCACCACCGCCATCCTGGCCGCCCTAGCCAGCCCAGGCAACACCCTGAGGAGCTCACTCCAGGTCAGGAGATGCTGAGCGGGGCGGAGGCTCTGGGTGGGAGATCTTGCCCTTAGCGGGTTTCTCAGGAGAACCAAGGTTTTCATTACCACAGAGCTGTGCTGTGGAAGACCAGCCACAGCGAGGTGGCTTGGAGAATAGCGAGGGCCAGGTCTCTTAGAGAGGCCGAGACACCCCCACTGCCAGGGGCCGTCAGTCCCAGGGGCCATGGCAGGTGGCCCCTGATGGAGGCGGGAGGAGCTCTCAGGAAGTTTGGACAGCACTTCCAGTGAGTCTCCTTCCCCCTGGGGGAGCTCTGTCTGGCCCTAGGGAAGCCCTGTGGCCTGAGGCTGGCTTTGTGAGAATGGGGGGTGGGGGAGCTGCCTTAGCTGGACTGGTTAGTTCAACCCAAGTTGAACTTGGCTAAGAAGTCCTGGGACGTCAGACCCTTCCTGGTGAGCTGTGATGCACCAGTGACCTCCCGTGACTTGCCCCAAGATGCACAGTACGACTCCAATCCTGGAGAACCTTGACTCTGCCTGGGTGCTGCTGGGTGACCCCCCTTCTGCCCACCGCCAACACCCAACACATCCACTCACCTGGACAACCTCTACTGTTTCAGATTGCCCTGTGCCACTTCTTCTTCAACATCTCCGGCATCTTGCTGTGGTACCCCATCCCGTTCACCCGCCTGCCCATCCGCCTGGCCAAGGCGCTGGGCAACATCTCAGCCAAGTACCGCTGGTTTGCCGTCTTCTACCTGATCTTCTTCTTCTTCTTGACCCCGCTGGCAGTGTTCGGCCTCTCGCTGGCTGGCTGGCCAGTGCTGGTGGGTGTGGGGGTGCCCATCATCCTCATCATCATTCTGGTGGTGGTCATCAAGCTCCTGCAGTCCCGCTGCCCCAGCATCCTGCCCTTGAAGCTGCGGACCTGTCACTGCCTGCCCTCGTGGATGCGCTCGCTCAAGATCTGGGACAGCCTGATCTCCAACTGCTGGCAGAAGCGCTGCTGCTGCTGCCAGATCTGCTGCCAGATCTGCTGCCGGATCTGCTGCCTGATGTGTGGCTGCTCCAAGTGCTGCTGTCACTGCAGCAAGTGCTGTGATGAGGTGGAGGAGGTGCAGGATGTCGTCATCAAAGCCCCCGAGGCCTTTGATAACTTGGCCATGGGCAGGGAGGCCCAGGATGGGCGGCCCAAGCCCCCAGTGGACGCCCTGTGTACAAAGTCCATCTCTAACAGCACAGCTTTCTAGACGACTCCCCAAAGCAGGAGCAAGGGTCCCTAGCCCCACGTGTTCCTTTTCCTCCTGGTCCTGCTTGTCTTTCTCCATCACAGGATGTTGCTCCCAACTGAGAAATGGAGTTGGCCTCAGTCCCAGGGTGTTCATTTCAGCTCTTGCTCCTGGGTCTTCTGCTCCAGGATGGTGATATCTGAGTTGTGCATCGGGGCTAGTGCAAGAGCATGCCCCCCCGCCCCCACACACAGCTGGGCAGGCCACCAGGACCGACTTAGTCTCCAAAAACCCCAGGGGACTTATGAAAGTTCTCAAAGGAACACATGGAGGCACTCGTTTGTCCACACGCACGAGCAGACATGTTCCTGGAATCCTGGGAGCACTTGAGCCTGCACCATCCTGCTCTTCTGTCTCCTTGCTGCGCATGCAAGATGACTGGGTGCTATTTGGGTGGGCATTTCCAACCTCCCACCAAAACTGCACTTCTGCACATTCTCCTATATCCCCATGCATGAGCTTTGGCTAGCTGCCTTCTCTTCATCCCAACGAGTCCCAAGCTTTTCTCACAGGCTGGAAACCAGGGCAGAGAGCTGGATGCCCACAGAGCTGGCCGCATCAGCAGCAGGGAGCCCCCCCCCCCTGTATTGCAGCTCCGCCCTCTTCTGCTTGCCCCAGAATCCCACTTCTCCCTGGTGAGTGAGCGAGCCTTAGCCTTGTCTTGGAAAGGGGGTAGGTCGCCTCACTCCCCAGTCCTCCACCCTAGCTTAGTCATCACCTTGACAGCTAGGATTCCAAGCTGAGCCCAGACTCGCCATGTAGATACTGAATCCCCAGAAGCCATTCATACACTCCCTATTTATAGTCACGCGCCTGTACAGCATTTTTCATAAGTTATATGGTAGGTAGCATTGTGATTTGTGTTTTGTAGTCCTCTCGTTTGCAAATGAGGTCGGGTTTCTATTATGCGATGTAAAGAAAAGAAAGACCACCTTTGTATATTTTGTGATGCTGCCTGTGACACAGGCCTCGCCCTGGCGCACACTCTGTAAATATGTCAGCTGGACCTGGGCGGGGCTCTGGGGTTCTTGGCACTCTGGTCTTTGAAAAATGGATCCATATACCTATTGATTGTATTGATTGTATTTTCTTTTTTACTGATTGTGGGAAGAGAACAATAAAAAAGATAATCAAACCCTGAAGGAGCCTGTTTTTAATTGCAGGGAAGTAAAGGTCTCTTGGATCTGTTTTCCTAAAAGTTCTCCTGCATCCCCCCCCCAACTAGTCAGCTAGATCACTTTTGGGGTCCTTTGTCTGAAGGCAGGGAGAGTACATGACAGGCATTCATATGAATGTTGTCCTTTCTTCACGGTCGCTCAGTTGACTTCTCTTTTAAAAACTTTGCGATTTTTATGCTATCTAATGAAAAATTAGGAACATGAATATGTATAGTTCATTATTTTGTTCAGTATCAGATGTTGAGTTTTTGACTCATAGAATTGCTTGAATCACAACTCATACTGGTAGCTACTTCATGTGTGTCCTTCCTGCTGATCAGGGGGTGACTGCACAAAATACCGTGATTGTCCCTATTTCCTTTCTGACTCACGTTGTCCAGTGCTTTCTGTCTTACTGCAAGTAAGGAAGAAGCATTGACATACATCTCTTTGACAGATCAAGAAGGAAAAATTCAATTAGAACGTAGATCTGCACTGGCCAATACAGCAGCTGTAACCATGTGTGTCTTAGAGACATTTTGAAATGTAGCTGTTGTAACCAGAAAATTGAATTTTTCATTATAATTTGAAAATGCAATTCTGCATTGACTTATTTTTTTTTTACAGTTTATCTTTCTTTATATATAATAGTTTATTTTTATATCATTTTGTGCATTTTTCATCTCAATTATACTGCATTGACTTATTTTTAAGAATGTTTAAAACAATTTCATTTATGAATCTGTAAATTTTGAAGACACTCAATACAGGCCAAGTATCTCTGTGGAAGATTTAACATACAAATTGAGTTTTTGATGTATAAATTAAGAATATAAAGTATGTAGATTATTTTATATGCGGATAAAGTAGGTTGAGTGGTATGGCCTATTAATATTAACTCTACATATTCATTTTTATGTTGTAATGATACTACTAGACTATTTCAAATCACATGTGGCTTAGTACATTTCAACAGAAATCATCAACAAAAAGACACCTCTACAAAAATAAAATAATTATATCCTAGATAATCTTTGAGAGATGAAACCAAAAGGCAATGGCAGAATATTTGAAACACAGCAGCAGTGATAAGCATACTGAATAGTACTGCTGTAGTGTGCTGACAAAGCTGTAATTAGGAGCAAATTCAAAGCAGGCAATGCTTTCATTATTGAAGAAGCTAGAATAACAGCAGATTTAAGAAGCTAGAAAACAAAGAAGCTTGAAGGATATTCAGAGAAATGAAAAAAAATTGAATTAGAAAATAAAACAGAGAAACTGACTTTTATTTTAAAAACCATCTTGCATAATAAAAATATGAAAAACTCAAATACCAGTATTAGATTTTTCAGAAAATCTAATATTTACTGAATAGTTCCTATGTCCTAGGCACAAAGGTAAGCACTTAACTTACTCTAATTCACCTCCCAGTATTCTTATAAAGAATAAAATCTAATTCTAGTTTTCATTTTCTAAGTTTCAGGTGCCAGAGAAGTGAAGGAAATTACAACTATAATGTTATAACTATCATATCATATAAGTCATCCTAAAAATAGTAACATAACTCCTAACCCAGACTTTCTGGGCCTTTCAGCCCTTCCACTTTAAATGCCCACCACTGTTTTAGGTAGTGTATAAATTTGCAGGTGAAGCAGTTTTACAACTCTGGGTGCAACCAGTGTAGATGCATTTGGAAATATTTATGCGGGTGTGTTCCTTGAGCAAAATGTAGATTACTAAACTTGAATCAAGAAATAGATATTCTCAACTGCAATGATAATGAAAGAAGAGTTAATTGCCACCAAGAAAAATGCTGGTAGTAAATAAATGATTACAAGAGAAAGTTGTTTTTAAAAAGACCTTGTAGGAAAAAATAATTTCAACATGAAGAAGTTGTCTTAGGACAGAGGAAAGGCTTAGTGCAAGAGAATTCAGCTTACAGAGCTCACTTTGACAACACATATACTAAAGTCAGAATGATACGGAGGCTTGTGTGACTCCTGCACAAGATTGACACAAACTTGTGAAGCATTTCAATAAAAAAATTTCAGTTTATCAAACTAATTCAGATATAAAGTTTTAACAAGTATATATGATATTCACTTCTATGCAGAGAAATGAAAAGTTAAACCAAACTCCAGTCGTGTATAAGATAAAAAGAGTTATGTCAGAAATGTAAGGCTACTTTATATGAAAAATCTCATAACATTCATGTCCTTGTTAATCCTCTTGAAAAATATTTTTGAAAACTTGAACTTCAATAGCCACTTATTGACTTATTCTAAAGGGTAAGTACGGCTTAATTACAATGATTAAAAATAAATCTGCTTCTCGTTAGGATAACAAAGCACCTCCAGCAGCCAAACCTAACTGGTTTAAGTGAGAATCCTCATCATAATCATACTTAAAAATAAAACATTACTGGAAGCAGCGAGAAAACAAATAACAAAATGGGTAATATAAGTACACATTCATCAATAATCATTTAAGTATTTTAAATGTAAATGAACTAAATTTTTCAAAAGACAGAGTCACTGATAACTTAAAAAAACAAAGCCCATCTATATGTTATCTACAAGAAGACGCACTTCATATATCCGAACACACAGAGATTAAAGTGTAAACATGAAAAAAGTAGTCCATGTAACCAAAACCCCCCAAAAAGAATAGCTATACTGTGTCAGCCAAATTTAAAACAAAGTATATATGATCTCTGGCAGGGAGCTGACCCACGCCTCCCCTAACCGGCCCACTGCTCCCCTCAGCAGTGTACTTCGTCAGTGGGCCTGTTCTGCTCCCTACTCTGTCTCTGGTGAATCCTCTCACTGCCCCTGCACCTCTGGCTTGTACCCCAGTTCTGTATGCATAAATAAGTAAATCTTATAATTAATAAATAAATAAATAAATAAATAAAACAAGGTATATAACGAGAGACATAGCAGGTGTAACATATACTAGAGAGTCAATCCAGTGAGAGGCTGTAGCAAGAGTCCATTTTCCGAGCACTTAAATGTATAACAGAGATACGGGCAGACGAAAGGGGTGAACCAGACTGCAATAGTCACAGTATAGGGCTCACCATAGCACTTCCATCAATGGATAGATGGTCCAGACACAAAAGGTCTCATTGGCCTTCAATGACGTGTCAGACCTGATGGACTTAACAGTTTTATAGAGGACATTTGTTCTTCCCAAGTGTATTTGGAACACCTCCAGGATCGATCTTGTTTGACAAGGGGTGGACGACATGGGTGGCTTCTTGGCTAGGCAATTAATTATACAGCACGTGAGGGTCACATCCCTGCTAACATGCTCTGCCATCAGAGCCCTGAAATTCCTCACTGATTGATCTTTTAACCTATTTTATGCCCAGAGCCCAGTGGGACAGCGGATCCTGCACTTAGAGTGGAATGAGCAGTTCGCAGGCAATATGCAGGGGCTCCCAACTGCTGCGTGAGGCATGCTCTGTCGGCAGCTCAGGGTGGTGGGCCCTGCAGGCTCGGGGTCACACTTCCCATTCACGTGGCTCTTTCTCCCAAGCAGACGATGGCAACAGAAAATAAAGGAACGCTATTGCGCTTTCTCACCTGTTACTTTCTGGTGATCGCCATCTAATTCGGCTGGGGCTTATGATATAGAAAGGACAGCCGACACTTCACTGTCCTTTTACTGATGAGACAGAATGTGCACACAGCCAGAAATGAAGAAAACACAACTGACTTAGTTTTGTGTCTCATCCCCCTTCTTCCGTTAGGAACCAAACGCATGTACAATACATGGAATGGGACTTGAGTTTGTAGGGGTGGCTCCCCATAAATCCACTGTTGTTTGTGTTTGAAACTGCCATTTCAACGGGGATTACAATTGAGATGAAAAATAAAATGTACAAATAAATTATTATATTATTAAAAAACCCAAAAAACTGCCATTTCAGCATCCATTGGAAAACTCATGCTGAACATTTGATTTTTGCATTCTAATAGCCTCACATAATTTTTTAAAAGATTGATTGATTTATGCATACCAGAACTGGAGTACAGGCCAGAGGTGGGGGTGGGGGGTGCTGAGACTCAGGAGAGCTAGAAGAAAAACTTTATTATCACTTGCCCTCTTTGAGTAAAGGTGACTACACATTATGTAGGTGTTCTTTCTGGGGTGGGGAGTGGGTAAAGCTGAGGGTGACGTCACTGAGGGAAGATACAAGCGACCTCATACTTCAAAAAGATCCAGGAGGTTCCTGTTTCACTGTGATTCAAGACAACAAATTCCTTTAGGTATTGAGTGCTTTTTATTTCTCCCTTCCCACAACCAGTAACAAAAGTACAATCATCACAAGCTTGCGGATCTGACTTTCAATAATTATTGAAGTCAAAAAGGACCCCAGTCCCACCGGTCCCACTTACATACTTGCAGTGACGGGCAAGGCAGAGGCACATTTCAGAGGTGGTATCACCAACTGCACAGAGGTGGTCTTGGTCTCTACATTTCTCAATAGAACCTGCCTCGTTTCCAAATGACAGCATCCTAAAACACAAATCCCAATACTACTCACTACAGAACGACTGGAAAATGCTACCTAGGTATGACTGAATATAGTCTATAAATGGCTTTGCTGGCACATGGTATCCACACGGAAGGAGGTCATTTGAGAGTTGCTTGAGGTCCCAAACTGGTCACAATTGTTGCCTCGCTACTCGGGGAGGAGTGGGGGCAGTGGCTTCCCTTTCTGGAATCCTACAGTTGGGACAGTCTTCCAAACTGGGCATCGCCGAGTTGCCCTAAGTAGCCCAGAACACCAGAGGCACCCCAAGGCAGGAAAAGTGGTTAAGTTGCTGCATGTGCTTCACCATCAGCTGGTGCTTCAACGCCAAGATTTAGAAACCTTCTGTTAGAAATGCCTCATTGCTTGATTAGTATAACTCTTATCTTTAAGAACCCCCTTACAGGACTCCTTGAGATATTAACAGCTTAGCTGGACTGATTATTCTTAGGACTGAGAATAAGAGGGGCTTTGAGAACTGGATGCATTTCAACAGTGGGTGCATATGTCAGGGGAAATCTCCATCTGCAAATCTCTCTCCTTACTGGTACCAGGAAGCCTAAATCTCTAATTTTTATCACTGGAGAAGTCAGCAGGTGCCTTCTGCATCTAGTCTTAGCTTTTCACATTGCCACTTCACTGGTAACCTACTGTAACTGAACTTTCCCTGTCCCTAGCTCCCCCCAACATTCTTTGTCTTTAATTGAAGTTGTTTAAGGTGGTGACTTAAACTATTGCTGTGAGTAACTTAGTTTTCACTGGGTCTCCCCATGTAATAGGAGGTCTGTGTGTTATTATTAAACTCATTCATCAAAACAGACAGGAAAAAAAAAGCCTGCCCTCATTAACAGATAAAATACCTTCCCCCAGTGTTCCCCTCTCCCTAACTGTCGGTGCCCGACCACCTAGCTCAGAAACAGGACCAACTCTCTTTGCAGGTAGAGTCACAGCTGAGCCTGGTTGCACCTGGACTACTGTCTAGCTCACATGTCGCTCCCATCTGGAAACATGGACAGGGAAAAGCAGGTAAAGGAACCCCAGAAGGGGGTGCGAGACACTGGGGAGCAAGGATGGCCCACACGGGGTCTTTCTTGACACCTCTCCATAATTACAAGGTCTCGCCTGGGCTGGACTTCTCTGGCTCTAAGAGACATAGGAATACCTGCTCTCGGTTGGCACGTGTTGGATGAAGACACCTGATTTATCACAAAAAAGGAGAAACATGAACCATTCACTTTGAGAAGCTCCCATAAATCCCTCTTTTGAAGTTACTTTTTTTTCAGAAGACACTGATTTGAGACTGAGAATATGTCTGATGAACCAACCCAGCTGTGTCCAATGGTGGGCGTGATCAAATTTCTAGGGGTTTCATTTAATTCTACTAATTCTCTAAAATTAACTTCATTTGATTTTCTTTCAGTGTTGTTCTGGGCCTTCCTGGCAGTGGAAGACTTAGGAGAGCCTGAGGTCTAACTACCTGCAGGTGATACATTGGGCAAAGGGTAACGCAGATAGTACTGATGTCAACTTCATTGCTTCCTGGGGAAGAAATCCAGTAGGTGGAGAGAATCACACCGCACATGGAGATGCAGGAATGCACAGGATTTGGGGTGCTTGGCCTGCCACAGGGGGCCACTACAAAGCTGTGCTCTTGCTGACAGCGTGCATGCCCAGCGGGTTCATTCCAGACATCGGGGCTCCATCCTGGGCCTCTCTGCCCATTGTCAAGTTATCAAAGCCTACAAAGGAGTTGGTCTCCACCTCCTCCAAGTCCTCACAGGACTTGTTGCCCTGGGAGCAGCAGCAGCAGCAGCAGCAGCACCTCTGCCAGCAGCTGGAGACCAGGCCATCCCAGGGCTCAAGCGAGCGCATCCACAGGGGCAGGCAGTGACAGGTCCGCAGCTTCTTGGGCAGGACGCTGGGGCAGCAGGACTGTAGGAGCTTGATGATCACCACCAGAAGGACCACGAGGATGATGGGCACCCCCACACCCACCAGCACCTGCCACCCGGCCAGCGAAAGACCCAGCACTGCCAGGGGGACCAGGAAGAAGAAGACGATCAGGTAGAAGACGGCAAACCAGCGGTACTTGGCTGAGATGGTGCCCAGCGCCTTGGCCATGTAGACGGGCAGGCGGGTGAACGGGATGGGGTACCACAGCAAGATGCCGGAGATGTTGAAGAAGAAGTGGCACAGGGCAATCTGAAACACAGTAGAGGTTGTCCAGGTGAGCGGGTGTATTGGGTGCTGGGGGTGGGGAGAAGGGGGGTCACCCAGCAGCACCCAGGCAAAGTCAAGGTTCTCCAGGATTGGAGTCGTACTGTGTGTCTTGGGGCAAGTCACGGGAGGTCACTGGTGCATCACAGCTCACCAGGAAGGGTCTGACGTCCCAGGACTTCTTAGCCAAGTTCAACTTGGGTTGAACTAACCAGTCCAGCTAAGGCAGCTCCCCCACCCCCCATTCTCACAAAGCCAGCCTCAGGCCACAGGGCTTCCCTAGGGCCAGACAGAGCTCCCCCAGGGGGAAGGAGACTCACTGGAAGTGCTGTCCAAACTTCCTGAGAGCTCCTCCCGCCTCCATCAGGGGCCACCTGCCATGGCCCCTGGGACTGACGGCCCCTGGCAGTGGGGGTGTCTCTGCCTCTCTAAGAGACCTGGCCCTCGCTATTCTCCAAGCCACCTCGCTGTGGCTGGTCTTCCACAGCACAGCTCTGTGGTAATGAAAACCTTGGTTCTCCTGAGAAACCCGCTAAGGGCAAGATCTCCCACCCAGAGCCTCCGCCCCGCTCAGCATCTCCTGACCTGGAGTGAGCTCCTCAGGGTGTTGCCTGGGCTGGCTAGGGCGGCCAGGATGGCGGTGGTGGTGGTGCCGATATTGGAGCCCAGCGTGAGCGGATAGGCCCTCTCGATGGAGATGACGCCGATGCCTGGGGACACAAAGCCATGTCAGAGCTCAGGACATGGGACGGCCACCCGCGGGGGCGGTCAGGGAGAAACTCACCAATCAGCGGGGTCATGGCCGATGTGAACACGGAGCTGCTCTGCACGATGAAGGTCATGCCGGCTCCCACAAGGATGGCCAGGTAGCCGGTCACCCAGGCGAAGGGGAAGGGGAAATCTGGAAGGAACAAGGAGAGATCGTTCTCAAACCTTGTCAGGAAGGTGTAGTATGTGAGAGACACCTGGCATGTGGCAGAGTCCAGTGTGATGGGCTGAGCAGAGGGTTAGGTGTATAGATGATTCCACTGCACACCATGGTGTGACACTTCATGGTGTGACAGTGTCCTTTCTTCACCTTGTACATTAAGGTGATGGGACAGTGGGTGGATTTACTGTGTGTTACGAAGACAAAAACATATCTCGTGTAGGCCAGGGATAGAAATACCTGAACTATACCCCAAGCCCTCTGAAGCTTTGTGTTGAAAACTTAACTCCCAAAGGGATGGTATTTAGAGGTGGGAACTTTGGGGCAATTAAGTCATGAGGGTGGAGACCCCATGAATAGATTAGTGCCTTTGTAGAATTGGAGAGAAATTGCTTGCTCTATATCTGTTCTTCCATGCATCATGGTGATGAGGTAGGCAGCTGTATATGTACAAGGAGATGCTCATTGGAATCTAACCCCACTGGTATCCTGATATCGGACCTCTCAGGCTGTTGGACTATGAGAAATCAGTTTCCGTTGTTAACTGCTTGAGAAAACACCCAAGTAAACTCATTTCTCAAAGAAAGCTCTTCAATCGCTCAGAGTAGTTTCATAACTCTTCCTGGTCTGCTCTCCCAACACCCTCACCTTTGTTTCCTGAAAAGGGACATTTAGAAAATACAGGGACTTGGAAGCTTTACTCCCCCATCCTTGGCATCATCTGTAGAGGAGCAGGTCCCAGGAATCACCCAGAGCCAGCTACCCTCCTGACAAGCAATAAGGCAGGTTCTTGGCCCATTTGTTGGCAGGTGATGTCCTTGGTTTGGTCACTCTGTAGTCCAGGATGCTGTGCTCAGCAGGAGCTCCTCTTTGCCAGTTGAGTCCCATCAGCCCAAGATGCTGATGATCTGTCCAGAATTAAATCTTCTGGGATGTCAGGATCAGTGTATCTGTTACCTTGTTGCTAAGGGATCCTGATAGACTCAATACAATCCTACACATGAGGGAACCTGGTAAGAAGGAAGGTCTACCCCATAGCTCTCTAGGTTTCAGGTGATGATCCCTCAGGACATTGCTGAACATGAAAGGGAAGGCTGAATCCACTCCCAGGCCTTAATCAAAATGCCAAAGATGATTGCAAAGTAAATGGTATCATAATGTTTCCAGCCTATCAGAATGTGGAAATTGCATGCAGACACCACACTGCATGTTATCTAAGGATTCTCCAGATTGTCACAGTGATCCCATTCTCTAGAAGATCAGGATGCTGTCACTGCACCTACCAGTGTTGATGGTCTTCTTAATGACAACAGCTACCTGCCCCTTGATCATAGAACCCAGGATTTTGACGATCATGATCAGGCAGCCACAGAGGACCAGCAGGGAGGCGATCAGCAGGATGATGCCAACAGCATAGTCTGGGAGGTTGAAATTCACAAAGATGTG